AAATGGCTCTTCCTACAGAAGATCTTCAGGCTTTGAACAAAAAATTAACAGTCAGCAGCTACAAATACTAGTACCTTAAAAAAAAGGTACCTTATCTGTCCAGGGATCCAGTGCCGTCTTCACCCGGGCTGGTTCTTTGCTGTTCTTTGGATCCCTGGCACCACCATGTTTACTAAGGAAAGCTGGCTGTGACCTCACAGCTGGCTTCCCTGAGTGTGAATGGTCCTGCAACTTCCTGGGACTTGTCAGAGAAGGTTGGGGGGGACTTCCACTCAAGTGGGAGTGGGTACCTGTTAAAACTAGGTACTTGCTCCCCCCCCAAAAAAATAAAAATCTCCAAAAGTGGGAGAGGAGGAAGGAAGGAGGTGTTAAAGGGGAAATTCCCTCTTTAAGAGATTGGTAGTTAATTTAACAAACTGAATGCAGAGCAATGGCCGTTGGCGAGCTTGTCACTGACATGAAACGCTTCTCAAATTCAATTTGATCTACAAATCACTGTAAAGTCAGTGAGCCCATAGAAAATAACTATGATTTCCTTAGCGAGAAATCACTTAAAAAAAGTGAATCTCTGCAAATGAATCACCCATCTGACATGGCCATAATACTTATCAGTAGAATATCCATTCCGGATACAGGTAAAAAAAAAAGAAGAAGAAAATCAAATGGCATGAAATGCTATCCCAGAGCTTGAAGCGGTATTAAACCCAAAACTAAAAATTTTATATATTGCAGCTTAGCAATCATTAAATGCGGTGGCTGCATTAGATTTTTTTTTTTAGGCTTGTTTGCTTGGGCATGGCAGCCCATTAATTTTAATAGCCTGCTGTTCCCTGCATTTCCCGAACAAAAAAGGTGCATGCACTGCTTTAAAAACGCAGCTGCAGGGAAACTGCATGATCTATTTGACCATGCGATTTCCCTGTGGTTCCTGCACCCGCAAACACGCTGTGGGCTGAATGGCAGCCCTGCGCGTCTCGTAAGAGCAGCACGATTCGGCTGCAGGTGGTTGTGGGAACAGATGCGATTCCCGCATCCGCAACCAGCCTACATTGTGTGAACCAGGGCTAAGAATTTTGTCCCTCTCTTTTCACCTGGTGATCTGGCCAATAACACACCTCCTGTATTAGAGTGTCCCCACATTGGATGAAGGAGCATCTTTGGACAGCAACATGCATGCTAGATGTACTAGCAGATTTAAATACACTAGCACATTAAAGCCAAACTCCAGCTAACACTTTATAACCAGTTACAGTATTTTTTTTTCCTTGTTGGATAGAGGATTTACATAAGTAAATATATGTGGTCACGTAAAGGAGCAGGCTCATATTACGGAACATTGAGACTGGGCATTGGACCTTCCATGCACCTTCTCTTGCCTTATTGGTAGGAGCATTAGGTAGGTGTTTGGGAATGGTGTGCCAGATTTTTGGAAGTCCCTAAGAAATGAATAATTCCATATGGATTTTTATGCATTGTTATATTTAGACCATATCTATGAACGCATACAGGAAATATACCCTGAATGGATCAATCGTCTTATGAACATAGCCGTTACTTGTCTCCTGATTAAGTGACTTATTGCTGCTTAAGTGTTGGGTCACCATCTCTCTCTCCCCCTTTTTTATCTCCCCCTTCATTGGGATTGTCTCTCTTTGTTCTTTGGAATAGGATACCATTTGACTTGGGACATTGGGAGGGGCATTGAATACGGATGCTCACTCGAGACCGTTTTGTTGACTTCCTGTGGGGTGCTGCTGCCCCACATCACCGTCTATGTCAATATGTGAGTTTGTGGAGAACAGTTTTATTTTTTAAGGCTTATGATTTTTGTGAAATTTATATTGTATGATTAATGATTCACATGTGCTCTATATGAATGTTTTCTTAGCTAAGGCATTTGATCTCTTTACCTCCAACTTTTGGGTCCTGAAGAAGTGAAACACGTCGACCTTTGGAAGATAAACTGTTATAGAAGACAATGCTGTTACTATTTGGGCTGGTCAGCCATGTATTGGTTTTAAATGATGTCATTGTAAGATGTATTTCACATAAATATGTATACTTATGAATACGAATCTGTCCGATACTGTACCAGTAAAGTCCCATTATGTTCCTTTTTTTCTTTTTCTATATTGTTTATTAGGGTTAAGGTACATATACAGTCTATAATATAATATTCATGAATAAATGACAGATGATCATTGTAAGCACACCCTGCCAGTGGTAAATGGTTTGTCTTGTCTCTGTAACTGATACATTCTGCTGGAGAGCTTGTTCTTTTGAAAAACAGCAGATTTACTGACTGATTCACCAGATAGAAATAGCCGAAAGAAAGCTTATAAAAGAAAACTAATACAGCCGTCCCATCTAAGCATTGGTAAACTGCAATATAATAAATGTTAGATTTTGGGATTAATACGGATTTCATGTCCACAGTTCATACCCCAAAATGTAACAGAGTTTTAATGAAACCTCACATTAATTTACACCTTTTTTTCGTTAGGTGCATAAAAAAAAAACCCTGCATGATGCACTTTGGTGCAGTGCCCATAAAGATGCTCCTTCCAGAAAGGAGCATGGTAACAAAAGGTAAATCATGCGTGAAACATCACAGAGATGTGAATGTCACCTCTACAGCTATCTAACATTGACACAAAGATCAGGAATTGTCTCCAGAAATATTCCAACACCAATGTATACTGATATATGGGGAAATTGTTCTTAGGTTATCTACATAAACTTTCCCTAAATAATAAAAATAAACTAGGAGCATATTTATAAAGCCGTGAGCCTACCATTTACTCCAGGTGATTCTTCAGGGTGCATGTGTTTAAATGACAGTGATTGATTCACTGCCAGTGAATACCGTATTTTTCACCCCATAAGACGCACCTGACCATAAGACGCACCTAGGTTTTAGAGGTGAAAAACAAGAAAAAAAAATATTCTGAACCAATGGACTGCAGACACAGTACAGGGGATGACCAGAGACTGCGGACACAGTACAGGAGATGACCAGAGACTGCGGACACAGTACAGGAGATGACCAGAGACTGCGGACACAGTACAGGAGATGACCAGAGACTGCGGACACAGTACAGGAGATGACCAGAGACTGCAGACATAGTACAGGAGATGACCAGAGACTGCGGACAGTACAGGAGATGACCAGAGACTGTGGACACAGTGCAGGAGATGACCAGAGACTGCGGACACAGTACAGGAGATGACCAGAGACTGCGGACACAGTGCAGGAGATGACCAGAGACTGCGGACAGTGCAGGGAATGACCAGAGACTGCAGGGAATGACCAGAGACTGCAGACAGTGCAGGGAATGACCAGAGACTGCAGACAGTGCAGTGAATGACCAGAGACTGCAGACAGTGAAGGGAATGACCAGAGACTGCTGACCTTTGGGGAGGGAGGGGGAGCGGGTACCTGAATTTGACAGGTACCCACTCCCACTTCTGCGGAGTTGTCCTTCCCTCTTCTTCCCGTGCCGGCTTCTGTGACAGCCGGGTGCCCACTGCACATGTGCGAGAAGCGCTGCGCTTTGTGAATGGCCCGGCGCCTTCTGGAACCTTTCATGTGTCCCAGAAGACACCGGATCATTCACAAAGCGCAGCACATGCGCAGTGGGCACCTGGCTGTCACAGAAGCCAGCGCGGGAAGACTGTGCAGCGCTGGAGCGAGGAATAGGTAAAGGCCTTGCAGGAGACAACAGCTGAGCGGCCGGCCCGGTATTCTGACATGGTGGCCGCAAAAATACCGGACCGGCCGCTTTATATTCGCTCCATAAGACGCACTGACATTTTCCCCCCTTGTTTGGGGGGAAAAAAGTGCGTCTTATGGAGCGAAAAATACGGTATTTGATGAAAGTCACATTCACCGCTTTATAAATATGCCTTCTTAGGTGATAGAATGGTATATGGAATTATGTACTAATTAGATGTAGTTATCGTATTTTTCGCTCCATAAGACGCACTTTTTTCCCCCAAAAAAGGGGGGAAAATGTCAGTGCGTCTTATGGAGCGAATATAAAGCGGCCGGTCCAGTATTTCTGCCGCCACCATGTCAGAATACTGGGCCAGCCGCTCAGCTGTTCTCTCCTGCAGGGCCTTACCTGTTCCTCGCTCCAGCGCTGCACAGTCTTCCCGCGCTGGCTTCTGTGAAAGCCGGGTGCCCACTGCGCATGCGCTGCGCTTTGTGAATGGTCCGGTGTCTTCTGGGACACATAACAGGTCCCAGAAGGCGCCGGGCCATTCACAAAGCGCAGCGCTTCTCGTGCATGCGCAGTGGGCACCCGGCTGTCACAGAAGCCGGCGCGGGAAGAAGAAGGAAGGACAACTCTGCGGAAGTGGGAGCGGGTACCTGTCAAATTCAGGTACCCGCTCCCCCTCCCTCTCCAAAGGTCAGCAGTCTCTGGTCATTCCCTGCACTGTCTGCAGTCTCTGGTTATTCCCTGCACTGTCTGCAGTCTCTGGTCATTCCCTGCACTGTCTGCAGTCTCTGGTCCTTCCCTGCACTGTCTGCAGTCTCTGGTCCTTCCCTGCACTGTCTGCAGTCTCTGGTCATCTGTACTGTGTCCCTGGTATTTTCCCTGTACTATGTCCGCAGTCTCTGGTCATCTCCTGTACTGTGTCCGCAGTCTCTGATCTTCTCCTGTACTGTGTCCGCAGTCTCTGGTCATCTCCTGTACTGTATCCGCAGTCTCTGGTCATCTCCTGTACTATGTCCGCAGTCTCTGACTGTCTCCTCTAGTTTGTCTGAAGTCTCTGACCATCTCTGTACTGTGTCCGCAGTCTCTGGTCATCTCCTATACTATGTCCGCAGTCTCTGGTCATCTCCTGTACTGTGTCCGTAGTCTCTGGTCATCTCCTGTACTGTGTCCGCTCCTGTCATCTCCTGTACTGTGTCCGCAGTCTCTGGTCATCTCCTGTACTATGTCCGCAGTCTCTGACTGTCTCCTCTAGTTTGTCTGAAGTCTCTGACCATCCCTGTACTGTGTCCGCAGTCTCTGGTCATCTCCTATACTATGTCCGCAGTCTCTGGTCATCTCCTGTACTGTGTCCCGCAGTCTCTGGTCATCTCCTGTACTGTGTCCGTAGTCTCTGGTCATCTCCTGTACTGTGTCCGCAGTCTCTGGTCATCTCCTGTACTGTGTCCGCAGTCTCTGGTCATCTCCTGTACTGTGTCCGCAGTCTCTGGTTATCCCCTGTACTGTGTCCGCAGTCTCTGGTCATCCCTGTACTGTGTCCGCAGTCTCTGGTCATCCCCTGTACTGTGTCCGCAGTCTCTGGTCATGCCCTGTACTATGTCTGCAGTCCATTGGTTCAGAATATTTTTTTTTTCTTGTTTTTTGCCTCTAAAACCTAGGTGCGTCTTATGGTCAGGTGCGTCTTATGGAGCGAAAAATACGGTACTTATATAAACTAACCCATTTAGGTTAACTGTATAATATGTTTAAAAAGGAAAGTTTATGTAAACCCCTAAATCTACTTTCAATATTTTTGGCATCATCTCTGTATACAGCTTAAACTAAAACTGAAAACCAGGTGAACAAAAACTATTATTTAAATATATTTCTCAATAACCTGAATGAATATAAAATCCATTATGTGTGCACCAAATGCCTTTGCAAATCTAGATATTACCATGTAAAAGTAGCAGTAACGTCATCACTGTGCTGTACATAGCCTGTGCAGAGAGCAGAGCTGTGGGAAAGACACAGCAGGCCCCACCCACTACAAGCTGCAGAAAACTATAGGAAGGGGTGTAGACAAGACCAGCCACCATGCACAAGAAAAGCAGTGACCAATCTTTATTACAGGAAGTTCCTGCATAAGGAAAAAATACACAAAGCACACAAAGATTCATTAAACAAAACACAGGCATCTTGTATTTAGACAATATATAATCATCCCAGAATTCAGCTTTAATCAAACCATGTTTTGTGAATATGCTGGAAATGTTCTCACCTGGAGATCCTGCCAGTAACAGCAATTCTTTTTTAGGCTGACAAAGCTAAGCCACTTTCTCGCTATTACGCTATTAGCAGCAACATTGTCAGGTTTCCATGTGCACTCCTATAGATGCCTCTGGCCTGTCTTTCAAGTCTATGAGATAAGCAGTCCAACAGCCATCTAATGGATTGCACACCACACGCTGACAATACAGCTGCTAATCGCAAAGCAGTGTCTAAGCGTTGTCAGCCTGCAGCAGCAAGGGTTGTTACTGGCAGTGAGAAAATTTGCAACGTATTTACAAAACTAGACTTACCTACTGATTTGTAAGGAAGTATTTTTTAAGCCCAACTTTGGGCAAATAAAAAGTTATCCCATGCAGTGGAGCTATGCCCGCAGCTGCAAGGGTTAATTGTTTATATATGTCTAGGGAACAATAAAAGGGAATATACTTAACCGATATTCCACCAGTCCCCACAGATTCTGTATCCCTGTGTTTTAGGATCTTGAGAATAGGGTCCATAGCCCTGCAAAAGATGTAAGGATGTTGAGGGACATTCCATCACCAGATTGTAAGGGAGCACCATCTGCCGGAAGAGAGGAGGATCAGGTAAGTAAACCTGTTTCTCCTCTCTCCTAGTGCAACCCCACTGCAAGGGATCATTTTCTTCTGCTTGGAGTTGGGCTTTAAGTGAGAACTTTATACAAATGATATATATGACGACTGGTACGGCATTTATATAGTAGTTAATATGCACATAATTATATACAATGTGTAGAGTAATTATGTAATGAACACAATTATTTATATATATTTTCTATCAGAAAATTGATAAAAAAAAAGCAGCTGTAGAGTCTGCAGGATAGTCATCCAATAATTGTTATTTCATCTGTAAACAAGACTTTTGCTATGAAATGTGATTGTCCCCAGGCAGAAAACGTGTTGCCATTTGCAGTTTACAATCCAAGAAAAGTTGGACGGTGACAGATCAAGTTGTCATCAGCCGCGTCTCATGTGTCTATGGGAAACAGCTAAACATTTAAATTGGTCTTTGAACATTCATTTCAACCCAAACAAGTCAGGAGGGGTCAGAGTCCAGGGGTGGAGGAAGATAAAAGTGTCTGGACAGAGAAGAGAGCCTTGAGGAAGACAGCACCTGCAGCCACATGACTTGGGCTCACTCATCTCCTTTGTCCTGCAGGCCACTCTAATGAGGCAGGAAAGGTCCCGAGGGGAGGGTAGCCGTTTACCGGCCGAAACAACACAGAAACTCAGCCAGAGACACAGCATAGCACAGCAACACCAACAGTGATTGAGGTCTTCTGGCCTGGAGAAAAATATATCAGGAAACACATTTATTTCCTCCACCACAAATGAAATAAAATGTAAGCGGCACACAGCAAGTTTGTTCCATGGATAATTCTTGGCCAGATATTTTTCTTTATTTTATCAAGCTGTGATAATGATATTTGCATAATTTCCTAAATCTAACTCCATGAGCTTCATAGTTATAAAGGCTAAAAAGAGACAAATTGGGTTCAACCTAAAGACAAAACATTAAAAAACTTGCATCCTCAGACCCATAGACCCGCAGTTGATCCAGAAGAAGGCAGAAAACACATATAAAATGGAATTCTAATCTAGTACAACTGAGAAAAAAAATGCTTCCTGATCCCCAAAGGCAAACTAATACTCAAGCGAGTCCACAATCTATGGTGTTATTTCTCATAAATATTGATAGCCAGTTTAATTTTGTACATTCCGAAACACATTCAGCCTTTCAGCTCCACCTGATGAAAAAGTCAATTAGGAATAATGTTTTGGACAGAGCTGAAACTGACTTGTTTGTTGTCATTTTATAGTTTGACATGTTGATGCCTTAACAAATCTAATGAACTTGCAAGAAATACTCCACAAGCAGAATCCCTTCTCTTACTATATTTTGGTGGGTCAGAACCAGGTAAACCAAAGAGTTGAGGAGTCAGTGTAAAGGGGATACACCACAGAGGCCACTCTCACTCACTTATTTGTGGTCACGTGTTCAGCGAATTAAGAACCATGTGGGAGCCTCGTGGAGAAGCTGGAAGTTAGTGTGGAGCTGCAGCGCTGCTTATAAAGCTGACATTTTTGAAGAGATGATTTCCACCGGTCATAGAACTCTGCACTAAGGAAGCCCAGTTTAAACATTTTGGAATATACAGAGCTGATAAGTTATTGGTGTGATCTGATCCTTTATTTTCCAATTAGCTGGTTACCCAATGGTATTCTTTAACTCTAAAAGAGAAAAGTGGGGTCACCCTCCGGGCTGTGCTGTCTGGCAGAAGGACACAAATCACAAAGTGGATGGGTAATATTACAAATCCTTTGACAAACTTGAAGTAGAATTAAAGGATAAAAATTATACTTTATCTTGGATAAAGTAAGGGAGGTTTATGACCACTGTCATGTTTTGCCATATGTGTCGCATTAGGGAGATTCCCTTTCACTTCCTGTTCCATAGCCAAAACAATAAGTAAGAGGAAGTCCCTACAAAGTGAGGGAATCTCTGGTTGTAGGGTCACCACTATTAGAGGGTTATTTACTAAAATGAGAGAGTGCAAAATGTGGTGCAACTCTGCCTAGAAACCAATCAGCTTCAGGTTTTACTGTCAAAGCTTAATTGAACAAGCTAAAGTTAGAAGCTGATTGGCTACCATGCACAGCTGCACCAGATCCTGAGTGCATCCGTTTTAGTAAATCTATCCATTAGTGTCCCTGTTGGAAGGATTCTCCTCCGTTACTGTTCTGGGAGCAACCCAGAATTTGGGATTTTCTTTCACTATCACTTTCTGTGATAATGGTAAACATGACAAGCAGAGAGAATGAATCTCCCTAACCTGACATATGTTCTAACCCTTCTCTACACTATCCAAGATTTAAAAAAAACAATGTGCCTTTAGTTATACATTAAGAAGCTCTTCCATCACAGTGATTGTCCAGAAGTGAGGTGTGAAGGACAGGCTAGAGCCAGGACTGCTGGAATGGGTCATTATGTGCAAACAAAGTCCACCCCCCCCCCCCCCCACCTGCCTTAGAAAAGACAAAATAGGCATATGAACACATAGATATGATGGAGGCTTCTTAGGAAAATCTCTACTTTCCTCTCTAAGACTTGTACCAGACACAGGGTGGTGGAGATTATCAACAATATTTTTGTTGATAATCTACATTATTAGCAATATTAGCATTATAATCCATACTAGAATTACTGATAATCTCCAAAGCATAATGTATTTATAAAGTAGTAATTTCACCTCCATGCAGATCCAGAAAATATTCACAGCGCTTAACGTTTGCCACATTTTGTTATGTTACAGCCTTATTCCAAAATGGATTAAATTAATTTTTTCCCTCAACATTCTACAAACAATACCCCATAATGACAACATGAAAGAAGTTCATTTTGAAATATCTGCAATTTATTAAAAATAAAAAAAACGAAAAAAAACTCCACATGTACACAAGTATTCACAGCCTTTGCCATGACACTCAAATTTTAGTTCTGGTGCATCCTGTTCCCACTGATCATCCTTGAGATGTTTCCACAACTTGATTGGAGTCCATCTGTGGTAAATTCAGTTGATTGGACATGATTAGGAAAGGCATAAACCTGTTTATATAAGGTCCCACAGTTAACAGTGCATGTCAGAGCACAAACCAAGCCACGAAGTCCAAGGAATTGTCCTTAGACCTCCGAGACAGGATTTTATCAAGGCACAGATCTGGGGAAGGGTACCGAAAAATGTCTGCGGCACTGAAGATCCCAATGAGCACAGTGGCCGCCATCATCCGTAAATAGAAGAAGTTTGGAACCACCAGGAATCTTTCTAGCGTGGGCTGCCTGGCTAAAATGAGCGATCAAGGGAGAAGGGCCTTAGCCAGGGAGGTAACCAAGCACCCGATGGTCACTCTGAAAGAGCTCCAGTGTTTCTCTGTGGAGAGAGGAGAAACTTCCAAAAGAACAGCCATCTCTGCAGCACTCCACCAATCAGGCCTGTATGGTAGAGTGGCCAGACGGAAGCCACTCCTCAGTAAAAGCCAAATGGCAGCCCGTGTGGAGTTTGCCAAGAGGCACCTGAGGGATTCTCAGACCATGAGAAACAAAACTCTCTGGTCTGATGAAACAAAGATTGAACTCTTTGGCCTGAATGCCAAGCGTCATGTCTGGAGGAAGCCAGGCACTGCTCACCACCAGGCCAATACCATCCCTACAGTGAAGCATGGTGGTGGCAGCATCATGCTGTGGGGATGTTTTTCGGTGGCAGGAACTGGGAGACTAGCCAGGATTGAAGGAAAGATGAATGCAATAATGTACAGAGACATCATTGATGAAAACCTGTTTCACAGCGCTCTGGACCTTAGACTGGGGCAACGGTTCATCTTTCAACAGGACAACTACCCTAAGCACACAGCCCACATAACAAAGGAGTGGCTATAGGCCAACTCTGTGAATGTCCTGGAGTGGCCTAGCCAGAGCCCATACTAGAACCTGATTGAACATCTCTGGAGAGATCTGAAAATGGCTGTGCACTGACGCTCCCCATCCAACCTGATGGAGCTTGAGAGGTACTGCAAAGAAGAATGGTAGAAATTGTCCAAAAATAGGTGTGCCAAGCTTTTAGCATCATACTCAAAAACAACTTGAGGCTGTAATTGGTGCTAAAGGGGCTTCAACAAAGTATTGAGTAAAGGCTGTAAATACTTACGTACATGTGTTTTTTTTTTGTTTTTATTTTTAATAAATTGCAAAGATTTTCGTTGTCATTATGGGGTATTCTTTGTAGAATGTTGAGGGAAAAAATGAATTTAATCCATTTTGCAATAAGGCTGTAACATAACAAAATGTGGCAAAAGGTAAACGCTGTGAATACTTTCTGGATGCACTGTATGTTATGATGAGCGGAACAAGTACCGTATTTTCCGGCATATAAGGCGACTGGGTGTATAAGACGACCCCCTAATGTTCCAGTTAAAACATAGGTTTTGGGCTATACTCGCCGTATAAGACTACCCCCTTTCCGAGGCAACACCATTTAAAATGGTTGTGACTTACCGGTACTTAAAATCCTTCAAAATCCGTGATTGGCCCAGTGTATACTGTATGTAGCCGCAGCTACCATACATACACGCATCCAGCGGGCTGATTACAGTAGGGACGTACTGGTACGTTTTGAAACCGATTGGCTCAGCGCAGTATACTGCATATACCACACATCCAGCGGGCTGACAGATTAATCTGTCATAGGGACATTTGTTTTGAGTCAGCTTGGCTCAGCACGGTATACTGTATGTACAGTATTACCACACATCCAGCCAGCTTGACCCAAACAATCTCAAGGCTCACATTTTATACCCCGCGTATAAAACGACCCCCAATTTTTGGGGTATATTTTTAAGTATAAAAAGTAGTCTTATACGCCAGAAAAATACTGTACCTGGAGTAGCTTTATAACTACTTAAAGTAACCAGAGATGAAACTTACTTGGAAAGACAGTAAAGTGCAGCCAGTTATCACAATTACTGGGCCAAAATCATATTAATTTTTATCACAGCCAAATTAATTTTCAGCAGTAAATTCTGCAGCATCACCGGCTGTTTGTTGGGAAGAAAGAGAACCTTCCCACCAGATGAATAACCCTATGACATAGCAATGTCACAACAAGAAGGTGGGGCACAGTTCTTAGGCTATACGGCCAAATGTATGTGGACAGCCTCCAAATTAATAAGTTCAGGTGTCTCCGGTGAAGAGTATTGTTGTGGTAACAGTTTGGGGAAGGTCCTTTTCTGTTCCATCATGACTGTGCGCATTAGCAAAGCCAACTCCATAAAGACAAGGTTGATGTGGAGGAGCTCCAGTAGTCTGGCCTTTGGGATGAACTGGAATGCCGACTGCTAGCCAGGTCTTCTCATCCATTATCAGAACCAAAGCACAAATTCCCACAGGAACACTCCAAAATTCTGTTGAAATCCTACCCAGAAGAGTGTAGGCTTTTGGCCACAGATAAGGGTCAACTCCATTTTAACGGCCTTGGTTTGGGATAGGATATCCTACAAACACATATAGGCGTGATGGTCAGGTGTTTGCAAACATTTGCCCATATAGTTTATAAGTGACATATTGGGGTTTATTTACTAAAGCTGGAGAGTCCAAAATCAGACTCCCTTCGGCATAGAAACCAATCAGCTTCTAACCTCAGCTTGTTCAATGAAGCTTTGGCAATGAAACCTGGAAGCTGATTGGTTTCTATGCAGAAGTGAGTCTGATTTTGGACTCTCCAGCTTTAGTAAATAAACCCCATTGTGACTTCCATTGTATGAAGGGTCTTGTGGTGTTAGGAGGAGTAACAGTGGGAGCCTTATTGACAGTCATTGCTGGGTCACTTCTGTGGACATATATAAAATATAAATTGTAATAACAATATATCAATGACTGCCATTGTTTCTGATTAGTACAATAAATATAATTGCAATAATGATAATGGACAGGGGACCCCCCATTATTCCATCGCAAAACCACCATTTAAAAGCTCCCCCACCATGGCTCGCATCTTTGTGTATCTCGCTATTATAGGGTCTTTTTCTCTCCCTCTGTGTACTCACATTCTCACCTATTGAGCTTCCAGTTAAAGGACGCCAGCTGATAATTACTGATATTCTCCCGTACGTGTTATGTGACAATATTAGCTCTGCCTGAACATGCGCTGTGAATCCACTGACTGTGCTACACGTGGTGTATGGTAGCCATATTGGTTGCTGCCCCCTGCAGTGACAATCATAATGAAGGTGATGTAATTACACTGAGGACGCAGTGGGAACCTCACAAGGATAAGACTTCATCTAGCCCAACAATAATGGATCTATGTGGATCCATATGGAAAACCTCAGTATCTGTTTGAGCAGCAGAATGAGGTAACAGCACCCCCATGATTACATGACTATCACTGTGTTACACCGAGCAGAGCCCCACTGAGGAAATTTGCATTGATGCAATCAAACGACAACAGAACAAAAAGATCTTTCTTATGTACAGACCTATAAATATGACTTCACTGACAGCTGCTACACAGAGGACATCACAGGCTGGTGTAACCCACCAAGAGTAATATAAGTGAGAGAACCTAGATATTTTTTGGAGAAAATCTCACTGTCTATGATAGAGTTTCTCAACCTTTTTTCAGTCAAGGCACCCTTTAAAATTCTGTGCATCTTGAGGCACCCCATTCTAAACTGTAAAAAAAAACTAAACGAAGATTTTTACACATCGCAGCAGTATACACACATGTAGAATACCCAATATTAGAGGTGATTTATTCTTACAAAGCAAATACATCTTTGCACACTGGTACTGGCTAGTATTCCAACATTTCTCTTTCCCCTTAGTTTCTCTCCTTCACTCAACTAACGTGACCCCAGTCCTCCTTATCGACCAATGACAAAATCAGTTAGGATGCCAGCAGCTGGCCTGTGTGATGCCCAAGGTTGTATCGGTGCACAATAAAAACCTGTGGCTTTGTGTAACAAAAAGACGGGTCTGATCCACTTGCTGTCTTGTTGACAATTTTTGGGCAATATTTAGGTACACCTGAGAGAACCCTGAAAGCACCCTGGTTGAAAAAGGCTGGTCTATGGAATGTGGCTTTATGGAGAAGATCCCAAAAATTATATATTATGAGACTGTATGCATAAAGAAATACCAGATATTCTATGGAAAAGAGCCCAAAGATTCTACGGAAAATGGTTATATAGAGATATCTTAATTTTTCAATGGAGGAAAACCTAGGAAGTCTATGGAGGTTAGCACAGAGAGTCTAAGGAGGACAGCCAAAATTATATATATAGAGGAGAGCCCAGAGAGTCTGAAAAGGCGAGCATAGAGATTCTAGGGAGAAGTTACCAAATATTCCATAGCAAATGCCCATATAGATAGATTATGGTGGAGAGCCCAGAGATACAATAGAGAATATACAGAGCTACTGCAGAGATTTTATGGTAGTAACTCTGTAGATTGTATGGGAAATAAATCTTGAATCTTGATAATCTCTAGTGTTGGATTATCTATATTTTGTTAAATGCCTAAAACAGAATGCATGGTGCAGATTCTTATAGAAAAATGTTTACACAAAATAAGGATTAGTGACAGAACAAACATTTCCATGTTCATGATGGTCCACTTTCATTGTCCTGTCATCCCCAAGGATATATAGGAACAGTAATACACTGACCATCACATGTTAATAAATTGCACAAACCGTGCAGATGTAAATGAAATGTGAGTCTTAACTGGTGTTTGCTCCCTGATAATCCACCCCTTCCCTTAATATCCAGAGGGCAGAAGCTGGGAGATCTCTCAGAACTCTGAGGAAAGACCACATTTGCAGGTCAGCAGGTCATGGGGCCAAACCTGCAGCCAGATGAGGCCTCTGGCACTTCACCCAGCAGGTCAAACAGCAGAATAGCAGGACGCGGCGGCTGCAGGTGGCCGGCACTTGACACATCTTGAAGCAACTACAAGTGCATGGGGAGTGCAGTCTTCTGTGTCAGATGTGCTAATTAAACACAACAACGTGAGCTCCCCCCAACCCCTCTGAGGCCTCTGCCAGGTCCACTCTGCCGTTAAAGATGACAATTTATATGCTGCACTCCAGATGTAAACACAGAGAACAGGACAGTATACAAAGCAGAGCCAATATTGGTCATACATGGAAGTATCAATTATTTTCTTGGTGGGATACAGACTTGTCTCCTAAGGCTGCCATGAGCTGCATTTGGGGATGACTGCCAGGTTGATTACAGTGACCATTTTGTTGGAAGCCCAAAAACGTACAGATCACCGGCAGCAGTCAATAAGATGGGAAAACAGGGGCAGGGCCAGGGAGACACAGCAAAATTCAACATTTTTATGCAAAAAGGACATTTGATATAACTGAGGGAAAAAAACAGAGACAGAAGATGTAATAAGGTGGGCTTGCACTTTAACCACTAGCCTACAGGGCACTTATACCCCCTTCCTGCCCAGGCCAATTTCCAGCTTTCAGCGCTGTCACAAATTTTTATAATTTTTTTTGAGACAGATAGAGCTTTCTTTTGGTAGTATTTAATCACCTCTGGGATTTTTATTTTTTCTTAAACAACCAAAAAACCACTGAAAAAAAAAGTTTCTTAGTTTTTGTTATACAATTTTGTAAATAAGTGATTTTTCTCCTTCACTGATGTGCGCTACTGAGGCTGCAGTGATGGGCACTGATAGGCTGCACTGATGGACACTGATAGGTGGCACTGATGAGGAGGCACTGGTAGGTTGCACTGATGGGCATTGACAGGTATCACTGATGGCACTGAAAGGCAGCACTGATACATGACACTAATATATGGCACTGATAGGCGGCACTGACTGGCACTGTTAGGCGGCACTGACTGGCACTGATGCGCACTGATAGGCGACACTGTCAGCATGACAGCTCGAGAGGAGAGAAATGCCGATAACCGGCATTTCCCTGTTTACATGTGATCAGCTGTGATTGGACACAGCTGATCACATGAACAAGCCGAAATCTTTGGCTCTTTCCGTGATCCGCTGTGTGTGAGGGACACAGCACACCGGCAATCGCCGTGCTGTACGCTCCCTGAGCCGCGCATGCGCAGGGAGTCTGGTAGGACGTTATATGACGTCCTATCAGAACAAGAGAACCACCTTGCGCGCATTATTTTACTATAGGGCGGGCGGAAGGTGGTTAAGAATGTATTGTCTCAGCAGTGTCTATTTTTCAGAGTGGTGGAAATTATCTTTTTTTATGTGTTTCTGTATACTTTATGATATATGTGCAGTACATGGGGTAGCCATCTTTTCTCATGACATACTTAGCCTCTGCCTCCTGTTCCTTTTCAAAGTACAAGACATTGGGGTTAATTTACTAAAGGCAAATTGACTGTGCACTTTGCAAATGCAGTTGCTCCAGAGCTTAGTAAATGAGGTAAAGCTTCACTTTACAAACAACACCCAATCAGGTGCAAGGAAGATAAAAAAAACAGCATTTTTGCGGGCACATGATTGAATGATTGAAGTCAGCAGAGTTTTTGCTTATTACTAAGCTCTAGAGCAGGGGTCTCCAAACTGCGATCCGTGGGACGAATGCAGCCTTTGCTTGCCTTTTTCCGGCTCCTGGGGCACTATTCCTCCCATTAATACCAACAAGGAGGCACCATTCCTTCCAATGACATTAACAGTGGGGAACCATATCTCTCACTGACACCAGCAATGGGGCATTTTCCCTTCCACTAATATAAACAATTAGGTCCTATTGCTCCCAGAGATACCAATCATGGGGCACTATTCCTCCCACTAATATCAATCAGGAAGCACTATTCCTTCTCCAAGCCCGAGACATTGTTTACTCCTGCTGAAACTGGGGCATTTTTTTATTCCCACTGGCCACTCCAGCCACCCTAAAGACTGAAGAACAGTAAACTGGCCCTTTGTTTAGAATGTTTGGAGACCCGTGCTCTAGAGCAACTGCACTTCCAAAGTGCACAGCCTACTTTATTTGCCTTTAATAAATCAACCCGCCGAAAACAATGTACTGCCTATGTGGCTGATTTCAGCAGTTGTGTGAGTAATTGTACTGAACTCAAGAGAGCTCCCTCTAGAGACTGATAAACAAATATCTATATTAAAAGAGAAGTACAGCCAAAGCTTGGTTTGCTATACTTCTCCTATTGATCACAGGAGTGCAGTTTGTTTTGCACTCCTGTGGTCCGTTTTCAGCCAACTGCGGGCTAAAGCATTCTGTGGGCTGACGTCACTCAGCCAGTCCAGGCTGGGTAAAGATCCCAACATTAAAGTCGAGATCCACCCAGGAGCTTGGACTGGTAACCGGCTCAGCCTCGTAACGATCTGCTGAGAGCCTAAGCCAGCCGCTCCTGCCCCCTTCACAACCCAGCCCTCTAGTGAGTGTAAGGGGGAGTAGGTGGTGGGGTTGGGGCAGAGCAGACAGTAGTGACTGACAGTCACCAGCTCTCCGCTCACTGAGCGATCACTCAGTTCTCAGTCTTAGAGCCACCAGGGACAGATGCAGCATTGGACTGATGCTGCATCCACCTAGGTAAGTATGATTTCTGAAAAAAAAAAAAAAAAAACATACTTCTCTTTTTAATGCTATAACATTAACCACTTCCAGACCGGACACTTTTACCCCCTTCCTGACCAGGGCAATTTCCAGCTTTTAGCGCTATCACACTTTGAATGACAATTGCGCGGTCATGCAACACTGTACCCAAATGAATTTTTTACCATTTTTTTGAGATAGATAAAGCTTTATTTTGGTGGTATTTATTCACCACTGGGATTTGTATTTTTTTTGCTATGTAAATGAAATGTCCAAAAATTTTGAAAAAAAGTGTTTTTTTATAAAATTTTGCAAATAAATAATATTTCATCATAAATCTTAGCCAAAATTTATTCCGTTATCTTTTTAGTAAAAAAAAAAAAATCCAAATTAGTTTATAAGCAAAAATTATAATTTTTAAACATTATTTTATTTACATTTTTATTTTATTTTTTTATATTATTATTTTTTATTTTTTTTTTTACATACTGTCACCCTAGCAGTACAGTGTCACCATGGTGACACTGCACTACTTGTGAGGGGTGATGAAGAATTTTTTTTTTTTTTTTTTTTACACTGATTGCTTTTACACCCATATAGGGTGTAAAAGCAATCCTTTCTCTTTCTCTCTGTGTGCATTCTTGCACTCATTGAGAAGAACTGAGTGAGCTGTGATTGGTCACAGCTTGTCACATGGTACAAGGCTTTTGTGAATAGCCTTGTACCATGTGACCTCTGTGATCATTCACAGATTTCACACATAGTAAGCAATGATGTCAGAAGTGACATCTTGCTTACTACTTTGCATGTGATCACTGATTGGCCAATCAGTGATCACATGATCGGGACCTCGTACAGAGGTCCCGTCCGACGATCGGTGTTTCACTGTGTCCGGAGGACACTGCGGGCACCGGATTGCGGTGCTGCGCGCTCTCCCAGGGAGCGCGCACAAGCAGGGTGCGGGGGGGCCGTTATACAACGGCCGGTCGGGAAGTGGTTAAGCGCAAGCTTGCAAGAGTGTGAAAGTCACATCAAAAGTACTTTTAGGTAAATACGGCATAAAAACTCACTGAGAATAACATACTTTACTTATATGATGGTATTAAATCTGTATAAAGACTTCCACCAATTCTCAGCCTGCCTGGAAGTGAAGAAACCTAATGTAATAAAAACAATGGGCTCAGTTGTACAGGTGATGGCAGCACACAATGCCACGGTTCCTTTGTAGAGTGTGACTGGACATCGGTATATGAGCAACACATGATGGATCTTTACATGAAGAGCTAAAAATGGTAGAAGCTAAATCACTTTATAGGTGGAGCACATGGGAGGGGCCCCTGCACATGGCCAAGAAGGCCAATAAAAGGGGCTTAGTCTAATACTCCACTTAAAATATAAACTCCACTGTCTATAAACTCCATTTTGAGGGAATTTCCTCTCATTTGCTGTTGCATCTCCAGGGAGCATAAGGAAATCTCCCAGCAGGACAAGGCAGCAAAAGATACCCTTACAGGGTTTAAATTTTTGCCTACTCCATCCAAACCTAAAAAACAGTTTTGGCTACACATACACTTTAAAGTATAATTCTACTCACTTTAACAGGTGATAGCATTATTGATTCTACAGTGAAATTGCCCAGCAGTGTTGTCACCTGGTGGACTGGAGTCTTAGGCTACTTTCACACTAGCTCTGTCAGCAGGCGTCAGACAGGTGTTTGGGAAGCGTTTTTAACGCTTCCCAAACGCCTCTGAAAATTCTGCACATGGCAGCACAGTGCTGTTCACACGGGAAGTGTTAGCGTCGCGGTAAAACAGACGTCTCTGGTCAAGTCAGGAGGAGTCTATGGTGCCGCTCCGCAAACTCCTGGCCGGCGTTTGCGGTGCGGTTGTGAGGCGTTTGCGGAGCGTTAATACCATTTAATCTTCATTATATTTGTTTGTGGTGTGGTTTTAACGCTTAGCAAATGCCTATCAAAACCACGCATAGGACGTTTTGGGAGCGTTTGCGGAGCGTTAAAAGCGCTTCACAAACACCTGTCCAACGCTTGTCAAACGCTATAGGGGCGTTTGGCAAGAGTTAGAAATAAAGTCAAGTGTGAACGAGCTCTTAAATGGATATGTAGTTTTAAATGACTTTAGAGGACCTGAATTCTGAAAGCTGTGCATGCAACTGACCTTTTTCCATTACTAACTTACCATGAGTTGTTCTGCCATGTGCCTCTGTGTGGAGATGGCCATCCAGATAGAGGAACAGGGCATTGATTCCTTGTGTCTGAGCTGCCCCACTGAATGGTGATCTGATGACTGGTGGGGTAATGATAAAGGTGAAAGAAGCACAAATTCACAGAATGGATGAAACAGGTAGATCTTTCCACTTTAGCTCCACAGGCACAGCTTTCTCTCCAGCAAGGAGTACAGTGAGCAGCACAGTAGTGACCACCAAACTTACTCCGAATCTCCTTAGACTAGCAGTCGGAGGCAGCAGTGCCTTAGATGATCTCATGCAGCAGATAAACAGTTATGAGGCTACACTATGGGAGTGCCTGAGCACAGGAAGCGCACTGCTAGTTTCAAGAGGAGTTAAAGACAATAGGTAGATATTTCAGGGTAGTGATTAGGCACAAACACCATGCCTATTTGTTCCCTGCAAGATGGCAAATCCTCAGTTTTGAGTTCAGTTCCACTTTAAGTAAGTGGCAAAGTCAAACTCCAGCTGAAACTTTTAAGCAGTTTCAGCAAGTGGGTTTGTTTTCTTCAGGATCAGGATAAAATAAAGTTCATAAGGACAGCTGATTGTAGAACCCATATAGTTATGTATGATGTAATTGTACAATCCCGTGATGACTATGGCATTCAGTGTACAATCTGAATTGTATACTGTACAATCTGAATCTTTGTGTGATGTGTTTTTATGATCCCATGTGATGTCTGGCAGTCCACGATTTTGTGTGCAGTATGATTTACGATACCTTATTTCCTCTCAATACATTGTCAGAACAGCAACAAAACACTTTGCCTGTCTATAACCCCAATCTCGCCCTCCATGACCCCCAATAGAGCTCACACATAATGACTGCCAGCCACATCCTCTTTGAATAATTTGTGCGCAGACGCTCCTCATGTGTCAGTGCTTTCTCTACCCATGTGTGCAGATAACTGATTTATTATCTCTTTCTTTTCATCCTGTGATATAGCACAGTAATGGTGGAGAAATAGACCTTCATCATGGCGAGGTGGCAGTATGAATCCACATGTTGGCCAAAAAATGGCTGAGAGTATCCGAGTGGACTGCAAATATGGTGCCACTTTGACATCCTGTAGTATATAAAGGAGGAGCTACCCACAGTCTCATCACTCACTGGGGATACTGAGAGGTCTATAGGGTGACGCAAGTGACTCTAACCTTGTCAAATACCACCACCGTCCCGCTACTACCCCCTTTCTATCTGTGTACTGTTCTTTTAACCTCCCTGGCGGTATGATCATGTCAGGGAA